TAATAATAATATTAATAATAATAATATTATTACAATAATAGGGAGTTTCATGTTTCATACAGAGATTAATAATAATTATAGGGGTTTAATGTTTCATGCTTAGATGATGATGATGATGATGATGATAATAATAATAATAATAATAATAATAACAATAATAATAATAATAATAATTGGGGTTTAATGTTTCATACATAGATTAATAATAACAATAATAATAATAATAATAATAATAGGGGGTTTAATGTTTCATACATAGAGAAGTAATAATAATAATAATAATAATAATAATAATAATAATAATAATAATAATAATAATAATAGGGGGTTTAATGTTTCATACATAGAGAAGTAATAATAATAATAATAATAATAATAATAATAATAATTGAGGCACTGGGAGCTTGAGATATTGGCGACTCAAAGGTCAAATCATTGGCAGCTCAGTGCTTGAGGTTGACAGAGATGGTATCAAACACGTCTACCAAAAGTCCCCGTTCATAAAAAAAAAAACACAGTTATATATTGGTGTTTTCCGACTCATTTACGTACATTAGGGACAGGAGCTACGCTCTGCGAGTGATGGTGTGGACGGTGGGAAGATTGTCCTGTCCAAGTTGTCCCTTGTGGTCACACCTGCTGCTGGCTACTGCTAACTTTCCAAGCTTACAGTACAAGCTTGTTTGTGAATTACCTTAAGTATTGAAGTTAATACCACCAGATCACTAAGAGTGCTTTACTTACCTTATGTTTGCCACGGTTATACATACATACATACATACATATATATATATATATATATATATATATATATATATATATATATATATATATATATATATATATATATATATATATATATATATATATATATATATATATATATATATATATATATATATTAAAAAGTAGCAATATGATATTACAGTCTGTTCAACTAGATTCCAAGTGCAGAGAGCTTAGTTATTATTATTATTATTATTATTATTATTATTATTATTATTATTGTCGTTGTTTTTATTATATTAATGGGAAGCGCTAATTTAGTGAGGAATCTTTGAAGGGTGGTGGTGGCGGCTCGATCCTTCGTTCGCTAACAGACAGACACTCACGCTACTCTGGCATCATTCACTAAGTTTAAGAATTTTTTTTTTTTTTGCCATAAGTAATAAATCTTAGAGCATAAAAGTATAGATGTCATAATGTGCTTGGAATATACATCTTTTTTACAGTGTTGGAGTGCAGCGCTGGGCGGCGTGATTTATTGTTTAAAGTTGGATTTTCAGTCCAGATTGTGTGTATGTATTTAGTTAGGTGTACTTGCTTATTTGTGACTGCGGGGGGTTGATTCTCGGCTCCTGGTCGTGCCTCACAACTTCTCAGGAACGGTTACACTCCATCCCTGGCCTTATGGAAGTATCGTACCTACTCTTCAAACTGTGTTTGTACTCTACTTCCACTCTTTACTCATCCTGATTGTTATGTATAATTCGCAGCCAGCCTCAGACTGAAGAAGTACTTTCTGACATTCCTGCCACGCATTTGCGTTTTCTAACTTCCATTTATGAACCTTTATTTCCTCTTCCCTCCTTGTAAATAGTTCGTCCTCTGTCTACCCTGTCCAACCTCCTGTCTTGTACGTCGTAAGCCTCTTTCCTCCGCTTCTTTAAATTAATATATTTTTTAAGTTTTTATCATTTCTCTTTACGAGTATATATATATATATATATATATATATATATATATATATATATATATATATATATATATATATATATATATATATATATATATATATATATAAAATATATATATATATATATATATATGTCGTGCCGAATATGTAAAACTGGTCAATTAGCAAGAACTCATTTAAAATTTAGTCCTTTTTAAAATTTTCTCTTATACGTTTAAAGATATATTTTTTCATTAATGTTGATGTAAAAAATTTTAATTTTGCACCAAAAGGAACTTAGAAAACTTACCTAACCTTATTATAGCAAGAAGAATTTATTTTAGCCTAACACTACTAAATATATTTTAGATTTGTTTACAGTAGTTTAATACTAAACAAACACAGTAAAATATATTTTTTTCGTTAGGTTCAGAATGATTTTGGCGAAATTATTGCATACACAAATTTTCACTTGTCATATATGGCAAGATGAACGTTGCTATTTAAGCCAAGATCGCAAGTTCTGCCTATTCGGCACGACACACACACACACACACACACACACACACACATATATATATATATATATATATATATATATATATGTGTGTGTGTGTGTGTGTGTGTGTGTGTGTGTGTGTGTGTGTGTGTGTGTGTGTGTGTGTGTGTGTGTGTGGAAAACAACCACTGTGAAAGAATAGAGAAGTTCCAAGCGCTTTCGTGACTACTCACATTATCAAGGAACAATGATTGTTCCTTGATAATTTGAGTAGTCACGAAAGCGCTTGGAACTTCTCTATTCTTTCACAGTGGTTGTTTTGCATATGCTGAAATCACCTGTTTACTGTGATCTTATTGCATATATATACATATATATGTATATATATATATATATATATATATATATATATATATATATATATATATATATATATATATATATATATGCAAAAATAGTGAATTTCCCTGAGATTAAATGATTTCTAACATTATCAAGGAAGTGTCACAGTTCTTTTTCTTGTTTACATACAAAGATTATATTTTGTTCAAAACTAAGTCATAGCGTTTAAAGCTATACAACTCTAAGATAACAATGTTTAAATAATTAATATAATCTTAACGTAACTCATAAGCTCAAGTCAGAGGATCTAAAGTTTTTATAAAATATTAATATTACATTAAAGAATACGGACTGAAAATTAATCTGCTGAAAGAGTACATTAAGTTATTATGTATCTGGCAGTAGATGTAAGATCTCGAACATCATAGATAAGTTGAAGGTTAAGACGTGCAACACTTGGGTAACTTTGTTGATGAAACCTTTCACCTACACAGTAGGTTTCTTCAGTCGAATACAAAGGAAGAGTAGTAATGAAATAAAGATGATGTAATCAGTCCATCAACCTTGGAGAAAAAATATTTGAAATGGTCAGTCCCTCAGCCTGAGGTATTTTATACCATTTTCAACAGTTCTAGGTAAGGGAGGCTGAATGTCTCGTAAATATTTAGGGACTGTTGAAGTTACTTTAGCTGATACAAACTTGTGTTAATAGTGTTATGTCTATCTCTCGGTCCAGCACACTCCCACTCAAAAACTTTCTCAAAACATTGTAAAAAAATTATTTGGGGAGTCGCTTTGTCCAAAATATTATAGGAGATATATTTTATAAACTGCCAACCCTAGTTAGTTATTTTATTAAGTTCTGAGAAAAGTTTTCAACAAGTTTGTATGACCTTCTGTAACCTAGACAGTCACTAAGGTACACAGTATTATTTACTTCACTTGTAAAAACATAAGAAAGGAGGAACACTGCAGCAAACCTATTGGCCCATGCTAGGCAGGTCTTTCTCAAACCCAAATCCACTAATAAAAAATATTTGTCCAACCCATTTTCAATACTACCCAAGAAATAAGCTTTGATAACCCTATTAACACATGTGCAAGTTGTGCAAGAATGGTATATAATACCGACAAGATGAAATTAAGACACATGTGCAACATCTGGGTATCTTTATTGTAGACGTTTCGCCAGCCAGTGGCTTTATCAATACAAATTCTAGGACATAACTTGAAGACAGAAGGACTATATACAGAAGATGAGGTAATCAGTCCCTCAACCTTGGAGTAGGTGCGAAGAGCACCGTAGTCGTGGAGATTCTGAAGCAGAAGCAAGGAGCCTGGCGCTTATATAGTAACGTCAGGTGTAGCAGACGAGGGCATAGTCACTGGTAGGCGGGATTCCCCAGTGGAAGTAGGTCCTTCCCAAAGAGATTGGATAGTTGTAGTAGAAGTTGTCGTAGTCGTGAAGGTTATGTACATCTCTTTGGGAAGGACCTACTTCCACTGGGGAATCCCGCCTACCAGTGACTATGCCCTCGTCTGCTACACCTGACGTTACTATATAAGCGCCAGGCTCCTTGCTTCTGCTTCAGAATCTCCACGACTACGGTGCTCTTCGCACCTACTCCAAGGTTGAGGGACTGATTACCTCATCTTCTGTATATAGTCCTTCTGTCTTCAAGTTATGTCCTAGAATTTGTATTGATAAAACCACTGGCTGGCGAAACGTCTACAATGAAGATACCCAGATGTTGCACATGTGTCTTAATTTCACATGTGCAAGTCTCACTCATATATTCATCGATCCTAAATTTGAAGCTACCCGAGATTTTATCTTCAATAACCGTACATGATATGAGACTTAACTCTAGTGAGGAACCACAAATGAATCACCCATTTTCCTTTCTGTCTCGCTGTACTGAGGCGCTAACACAAAAAAGGTGACAATATTATCATGTAGCAATTTTTTTTATGAATTCTAGAGGCAGCTCTGTGAAAGCGTTTAGATATTTTTCCCCTGGGGTCTGTGATCCTGTTATGATAACGTGATATTGAGTATTCAGTTGTCTAAACGTGTTCAGCTTGTTTACTTCCCTATGTTTGGGGTAGAATTATCTCGTTAAACAACAGTAAAATATACGTTAGTGACAGCCAGGGTAAATGCTTATGTGTCGACCACCACGAGAGAGAGAGCGAAAGAGCGAGAGAGAGAGCGAGAGAGAGAGAGAGAGAGAGAGAGAGAGAGAGAGAGAGAGAGAGAGAGAGAGAGAGAGAGAGAGAGAGAGAGAGAGAGAGAGAGAGAGAGAGAGAGAGAGAGAGAGAGAGAGAGAAAGAGAGAGAGAAAGAGAGAGAGAAAGAGAGAGAGAGAGAGAGAGAGAGAGAGAGAGAGAGAGAGAGAGAGAGAGAGAGAGAGAGAGAGAGAGAGAGGGGGGGGGGAGAGGGAGAGTTAGTGAGTAGGTACAAACATACTTCTCATTGACTCACCTTGTGCTGTAATAAGAAGCAGTGTGATGATTGTTCGACCCAGACCAACCTCCATTTTCACCTCTCCGTCTTCAGGAGTTGGTTACCCAGCGGGCTGACAGTGGTCACCCAGCAGGCTGACAGTGGTCACCCAGCAGGCTGAGGGAGGGATACCCAGCAGACTGAGTGTGGCAGCCTCCTCTATGCTCTCTCCTGCTGAACGCCTGTGACCGACACACGTTTTGCGAACTCAAGGAGACATCGTCACACGTCTCAGACAGTACTCGCGGTGTCGCCAGGAATGGAAGCAGGTGGTGGTACACTGTTGGTCAGGAAACACTACAGGTGTCTCCCTTCACCAGAGTCACCTCCACACCTCATTGACGAAAGATCACATAACTAGCCAACAGTGTCCGTAGCTTCCAGGTTACCAGCACCAGCAGCTTTACTGGCAGATAAGGCAGGTTCTTTATTTTATCTACAATAAAATAATATCAGCAATAAAATTGAAAGGCTGCTTCCGAGCTGTGGTTCAGGCAGAATAAAGATCTGTGTACAGATCTCGATGTTAATATGTACCAACACTGACCTGTACAAGTTTACCACGTGTTTCAAAAACAATAGAAACATGCACAGAGAATATAATGGAAGAAGAATAGAAATATACAATCTGCTAGTCCCCTTAATTCTATTATTTTGCCTATACATAGAAAATATAATAGAAGTATTATAATAATAATAATAATAATAATAATAATAATAATAATAATAATAATAATAAGAGACACAATCTATCAGTCCTCCTAATTCTATTACTTTTGCCATAAAATTCCTGAAGTTCATTAGATCTGCAGTCATGTTAGTTATTTTTTACGTTGCCATTTCTTAAAAAAAAATTCTAAGTGGAAAATCTGCAGTTTTCCACTTATCTGATTTTGTTTTTGATCCTTACTGAAGGGTCCGGGAGCTGTGACTCGACCCCTGCACCCACAAACAGGTGAGTACTTCCTCTTCCTGCTGCAGTACCCAGGGTGATATACTATCTGATTGTACCACTTTTATTGTGTCTGTTATCATTAGGGATACTCTCACTTCCTCTTTCATTGTGATTACTTCTAATCTTCGTTAGTCATCTTTTTTTTTCTCTGACTTTTTATACAAATCTTTTTCTTACCTGATCACTTGGTGTTATATTTATTCTGGTGTGAGTATGTAACACTTATTTTATATTTAACTTTTGCTATTTTGTTATTCTCAAACTTCCGCTCAGATTCTCCTCTCATTTCTTGTAGATTCGTATTTTTTGTTCAATTCTGTTTCCTTCTATATTTTATTTTTTTCCATGTTTTTGCATTTTTTTGACTCTGCATTTTTGAGTGAACGACGGTGGGTTCTCTTCTTATTATTGTCTTTACTGAATGTTAATTCCATCTCCATTCCTGGCACTATATATTTAAGGAATCCATTATATTATTCTTGTCTTTCTTCCTAATTTCCATTTTCATTGCACTGCATTCATGAATTCTCTCATTATTCTTTATATTTAATATGTTTATCTCCGTGTTTTTTTTACCACAATGAATTTGAAAGTCAGTACCGTATGGTCGCTCATACCAAGAGTCCTATCATACCTGGAGGGTGTTCCGGGGGTCATCGCCCCCGCGACCCGGTCCATGACCAGGCCTCGCGGGGTCTGGTCGATGTGGCTCACATCAGACGCGCTTATGGTAAATACCAGATCCAGTCTTGCTGGTTCATGCATCTCCTCTCTTATCAAATCCGCTGACATCAACAACACAGTTTTTCCATTACGTTAGTTCTCCATATATCTGGTCTCTCAGTGTGCAGCTTTGAACTTGATTATTAGTTTTGATTTGGTTTTAAAGGCTATTGTTGCAGCTTTTACTGCCGTGTTAGCCATTGTTTTGTTGGAAAATAGTTTAGAGAACCGATAAGTTGATAAATTAGACTCATGCGCAACACTTGGGTATCCTTATTGTGGAACTCCTCATCTTTCACCGTTCTTCTCTGTATTGGAGAAACATTTCACCAGCCACTCCCCGGTGAAACGTTTCGCCAGCCACCCTCATCCCGATGAAACCTTTGCCCCCCCCCCTGTGAAACCTTTCGCCTCATCCCCGTGAAATGTTTCGCCAGCCACCCCCATCCCGATGAAACCTTTGGCCCCCCCCCCTGTGAAACCTTTCGCCTCATCCCCGTGAAATGTTTCGCCAGCCCCCTCCCGGTGAAACGTTTCGCCACCCCCCTCCCGGTGAAACGTTTCTTCACCCCCTGGTGAAACGTTTCGCCATCCCCGGGGAAACGTTTCGCCACCCCACCCCCCCGTGAAACGTTTCCACAAAGATTTTCAAATGTTACATGACTGTCTCATACTAAAACATTGTTTTATTGTTGTGTTCTCAGTGCAGTGTTGTGTGTCTCCTGTTGTCTGGCGAGGCCAAACCTGACACTGATAATACCTTGGGTAATCCAGTCATAGTCGTGTCTATCACTTAATTAATTCACCACTCTTTATCCCTGTTATCTTCTCAATGCATCACATAAGAACATAAGAACATAAGAAAAGAGGAACACTGCAGCAAGCCTGTTGGCCCATACTAGGCAGGTCCTTTACAATTTATCCCACTAACAAACATTTGACCAACCCAATTTTCCATGCCACCCAAGAAACATGCTCCGATGTGCAAGCCCCTCTCAAATCCAACCCCTCCCACTCATGTACTTATCCAACCTAAATTTGAAACTACCCAAAGTCCTAGCCTCAATAACCCAACTAGGTAGACTGTTCCACTCATCAACTACCCTATTTCCAAACCAATACTTTCCTATGTCCTTTCTAAATCTAAACTTATCTAATTTAAATCCATTACTGCGGGTTCTCTCTTGGAGAGATATCCTCAAGACCTTGTTAATATCCCCTTTATTAATACCTATCTTCCACTTATACACTTCGATCAGGTCTCCCCTCATTCTTCGTCTAACAAGTGAATGTAACTTAAGAGTCTTCAATCTTTCTTCATAAGGAAGATTTCTAATGCTATGTATTAATTTAGTCATCCTACGCTGAATGTTTTCTAACGAATTTATGTCCATTCTGTAATATGGAGACCAGAATTGAGCTGCATAATCTAGGTGAGGCCTTACTAATGATGTATAAAGCTGCAGTATGACCTCTGGACTTCTGTTGCTTACACTTCTTGATATAAATCCCAGTAATCTATTTGCCTTATTACGTACGCTTAGGCATTGCTGTCTTGGTTTAAGGTTGCTGCTTACCATAACCCCCAAGTCCTTTTCGCAATCTGTATGGCTAAGTTCTACATTATTTAACTTATAAGTGCTAGGGTTATGGACACTCCCGAGCTTCAGAACCTTGCATTTATCTACATTGAACTGCATCTGCCACTTTTCTGACCAAGAGTAAAGTTTGTCTAAATCCTCTTGAAGTTCCCTAACATCTACGTTTGAATCAATTATCCTACCTATCTTCGTGTCATCAGCGAATTTGCTCATATCACTAGTAATTCCTTCATCAAGATCATTGATATATATTATAAACAACAACGGGCCCAAGACTGATCCCTGTGGAACGCCACTTGTAACTGATCCCCACTCGGATTTAACCCCATTTATGGACACTCTCTGCTTCCTGTCTGTGAGCCATGACTCGATCCACGAGAGCACCCTTCCCCCAATGCCATGAGCTGCTACTTTCTTCAACAGTCTTTGGTGCGGAACTCTATCAAATGCCTTACTAAAATCTAAGTAAATAATATCAAATTCTTTATCATGGTCAACAGCCTCAAAAGCTTTACTGAAGAAAGTTAATAAATTAGTTAGACAAGACCGGCCTCTTGTGAATCCATGCTGAGTATCATTAATCAAGCTATGCTTATCGAGATGGCTTCTTATAATCTCGGCTATAATTGACTCTAGTAATTTGCCTACAATTGAGGTCAGGCTTATTGGGCGGTAATTTGACGGTAACGACTTGTCCCCTGTTTTAAAAATAGGAATTACATTCGCCATCTTCCACATATCAGACACTACACCTGTTTGAAGAGATAAATTAAAAATATTAGTTAATGGTTCACAGACTTCCATTTTGCATTCCTTAAGAACCCTTGAAAAAACCTCATCAGGACCCGGTGACTTATTTTGCTTCAGTCGGTCTATCTGCTTCACAACCATTTCACTAGTGACTATGATGTTACATAATTTATCTTCTTCTGATCCACTATAAAAATTAATTACCGGAATATTATTAGTGTCTTCCTGTGTAAAAAACCGAGAGAAAATAATTATTTAAAATCGAGCACATTTCATTCTCTTTGTCAGTAAGATTCCCATAGTTATTTTTAAGGGGACCTATCTTATCTCTGACTTTTGTTCTATATACCTGGAAAAAACTTTTTGGGTTAGTTTCAGAATCCCTAGCAACTTTAATTTCATAGTCCCTTTTAGCTTTTCTTATCCCCTTTTTAATGTCCCTCTTAATGTCAATATACTGATTCATAAGATGACCCTCGCCTCTTTTGATACGCCTATAAATTCCTTTCTTATGCCCTAGTAGATATTTCAGCCTATTATTCATCCATTTTGGGTCATTTCTATTTGATCTAATTTCCTTATAAGGGATAAACGTTCTTTGAGCAGCATGTATTGTGTTCAGAAAACTGCCATATTGATAGCTCTCTTCGTTACCCCAGTCAACAGATGATAAGTGTTCTCTAAGCCCATCGTAATCTGCTAAGCGAAAATCTGGGACTGTTACTGAGTTATCCCTACTATCATACTTCCATTCAATTCTAAATGTAATTGATTTGTGGTCGCTAGCACCCAGTTCCTCTGAAACTTCTAAATTATTAACAAGGGATTCATTGTTTGCCAGAACTAAGTCAAGCAGGTTATTTCCCCTTGTAGGTTCTGTCACAAACTGCTTCAAAAAACAATCCTGAACTACTTCTAAGAAATCGTATGATTCTAAATTCCCAGTCAAGAAATTCCAATCAATATGACTAAAGTTAAAGTCTCCTAGAATTACTACATTATCGTGCCTTGTGGCCCTAACAATTTCCTCCCATAGTAGTCTCCCTTGGTCCCTATCTAAATTTGGGGGACGGTATATCACACCTAAAATTAATTTTTCATGCCCCTCTGAAAATTCTATCCAAACAGACTCTGTATGTGTTACTTCAGACTTAATACCCGTTTTTATGCAACAGTTCAAGCGATCTCGGACATACAATGCCACCCCACCCCCTTCCCGATACTTCTATCTACTTGGAACAATTTAAAACCCTGAATGTGACATTCTGCAGGCATGTCCCGACTTTTTGAATTAAACCACGTCTCAGTAATGGCAAATACATCTATGTTACCTGCACTAGCAACTAGTCTCAACTCGTCCATCTTATTCCTAGCACTGCGACTATTTGTGTAAAAAATTTT